GGTCCTGTCATCAATCCGAGTACGCACCTGGTAAACACCGTTTACCTTTCCGAGACTGAAAGCCAAAGCCTCATTCAGAATCAGGCGATGCAGGGGATCACTGGTGGTCCACCTCTTTCAGCGCCTGCTGCTTCACCATCGGGTTTTCCCAAAAAGAGGGGAGCCATGGACAAGAGATTTACACCTCCGAGTTCTTGTCAGTGCGGATGGATGGATGACTGACTAACGCTGGTGGACTATTCTTGCTTCATTGATTGTTTGGCATACTTTCTGGCCCCTCTGCTTTTCGCTTCTTTGTGACTGGGTTAGGTTCGCGATGGTAGGGTACTGGGGGCGTTGAGAACATGATGTGGGTCATGAGGGTATCACGGGTGGGATTATGAGCAAGGTGTTCCCACTGGAGTTCTATGATATTGTGTGTCGGCTTTGCATGTCTTCCTAGCTTTGCCACCATGTTAGCGTAGAGCAAATGTTGACGTATCAGTCGACTAACATAAATGGTCAGGGAAACATTATGACCAACAGTACGTCGGTGCGAGACTGCCCGAAAAATCTGCGTTGAAACACGCTCAAACTAGCACTCATGGTGCTGCTCATACCGTCGTTATCCCCAATTTTGCTTCAGCCCTACGTCTGAGGCTAAAGCCATGTCGAAAGAAGGCGACTCTCCGCGTCACGAGCATTACTCTTTCCCAAGACTCAACACCACAGAGATGATCTGATCACTTGCTCTTCTTCTTAGCTCCCCTTTTTTGCATATGCCGTATTCATTGTAGAGGCGATGCTCGCTCTTACAGCTTCACCGGCCAGCTCTTCTCATCCCGGCCCCGCCTGAAGACTTGGTGTCTCCCGAAGCTCTCCTGCCCCCGAGGTTTCTGACCGACAAACTCTCTTGGATCCAAATTCAGCCGCCGATCCAGGCATACAAACTGGGTACATCAGCCACGCGGGTCGTCGCAGCGAATCTGTCCTGTTGGCACTGACGAGGTTTGCTAGCAAAGCTCTACGATAGCTCTTTGGGGTGAGCCGATTCACCAAGCTCTGGGTCGACAGAGCACAGTCCTTAGCAGAGATGCCTTGCTTTAAGGGTCTTGCTGTCAGCATTCATACACCGGAAGGTCCACTTCCAGAGTACTCCATCCAGAAGCAATCCCGATTCTCTCGCATAAGCTCTTACATCCCGGTTCCACCTGCCAAAATACCACAGAACTCGACGTCCAACCAACCTGAGCAATCTACGTTCGCTATCTCTATTACACTACTCACGCCGGGTCTCAATGTCCCGTACTCCCAACCCAAATCAGCGCCAGAGAACCCTTACCCAAGACCTCGAATAGTCAGTGGGCTACCAAGCCTCACAGGAGATCGAGGGAGATATGGGAGTGTTATCGGTCCCTACGTTCCTCTAACTACATCACCCAACGAGACCATCGCTGCGTACATCTACTTTGACGGCAGGGCCAAAGAGGAGGTTGCTACGCTTCTACGAAGAGGAGAGGAGACATGGGTCAACTCAAGATGGGTTGGTGTACCCGAGTCAGAGGGTGGGGGCCTTGCAGAACGGGAGTTTCTGTTTCGAGAAGTAGGGCTTGAGAGATGGTTGAACGGGCTTGATCTGGAAGGGAAGGATGCAGCCGCAAAGATTGAGCGACGACGACAGAAGATAGAAAAAAAGAGACGGCGGAGAAAGCTAAAAACAGACAGCGATGACGAAGCTGAGTCCTCGCTGCTGGGAGGACAAGACCGGTCCGAAAAAGGTGTTCTTCGGTATGGGGCAGACAACCAATCGCCCTTGGAGCAGATGTCGGATTCGGATGAGATGTTCCTTTCGGGGTCAGGTTCGGACTCAGATGATGACCCAGTACCTGAATCAACGGGGCAGATCAAGGTTGCTTTGTTCAGGGTACTGGCATCTGGAGAGATCAAGAGGGGAGAATATTCGCCCCAATTCGATGCTCACGATGATGACGATGAGTTGGGCAGAGGCACCGAGAACGGAGCAAAGACTGATGGGAACAGCACTGAAGAAGTAGATCATACGACGAGCTTTGCCCAGCCGAAGTCACTAGATCCGAAGTCGATTAGTACGCAGACGGTGACTGGGATCGATCCTCCAGATAGACCATTCGCTGTCTTCACGTTTCTGTACCGTGGCGAAAGTAAGCACCCTTCAATCATAAAATACGCTACAGAGCTAATGTATACCAGAGCAACTCCAGAAGATGGGGATCCTCCCCATATCACCAAAAATCCCAGACAAGCTTGCAGCCTCGAACGGCAAGCGAAGATCAATGCAAGCCGATTTTGCCAAGCTGAAACCTCTAAACCCGAACGGTCTTATGGGCTTCTCGACGTTTCGAGACCCAAACGAGCGATCTGAGACAAACGGGGTCAAAGACAAAGCCGGCAACAAGAGGTCCAACGATGAAGATAGCGACGAAGACGTTGGGATTTCGAAAGAAGTGTTGATCAAGACCGAGGGAGATGATATCCAGGAAGCCAATGGTATGCTATCGCCAGAGGACGCCAGACGCCAAGGCGAGCTGGCAGAAGGTGTCCAGAAGATAAGGGTAAGCATACCTCAGTCCACTGAAGACTCTCGCCGATGCTCACAATCAATCTAGTTAAAACGACAGCATTCCGCTGATCAGATGGACTTGCCTTCGCCTGCGCCTGCTCACAGGAAATCTCCCCCCTCCAACACTCCTACCGCAGGTTCTACCCCTCCATATCAGCAAAACGTAGCGCAATCACCCACGACGCTCCTCCCGAGTACTGTCTATGACGGAGGCTCTTCCAAAGCACCTGAGGATGCAATGATTGGCAGCCCACTCAAGAGGCAGCGAGCGAGCGTCTCAGGACTAGACGAGGAAGGTATGAGATCGAAGCTTGGACTGGGACTCTTGGGTGCCAATGGAGATGTGCTTGGAGCCACTGCGCAAGACAAGAAGAATGTTGGGCCGGTAGCACAGGACAAGCCTGGCTTTGGCGATATCTTGGGCCTGTCTACACAAGAGAAGGTCATATTTGGCGGCCAGCTCGGATCACAGGCAGTAGATGAGGCAGTGAAGGCAGAGGAAATGGAAGAGGAGTTATGATATGTTGAAGTTATGTGGACTGCCAGCCATGGTTCTCGGGGGAAAGGATTTACTTTCACCAAGGCGCATATGAGACCGAGGTCCTGGAAGCTCTTTTACAGGACTTAGCAATTCGGTATGAGGCGTCTTTTTTTCGATTCGGGATTCGACAGATATTCATGCGCACCAGCTTTTTTGACTTGGGCGACTATCAAAGAGCTACGTAGGTGTGATAGTCCTACAATGTATACTGATCAATTCCACTAGAAGTCAAGTTTTGAGAGCCAAGCCAAGATTGAAAACGCCAAAGAGGAAGAACAATGCCTGCAGGGCGGATGCCGTCGGGTGAAAGGTATTTATTATCCATGACTACTTTACTATTTATATGATGGGGGAAGACGAATCGAGGTTCTGGAGGTGGCGACATAATAATATATATGTACCCATGAATCGTTGCCGTTGAAATCGATCTGTTACGGCGGACGAAGGCTAACAAACACTACGACAAAACTAAACTATCAAAAAAGTAGATTTGATGGCAGAAAGAAATGATCCTACGATCATTATTATTATGATCTCCAGATAGATAAATGATTATCTTTATGAGATAAGTAGATTTCTTTATAATTACTGAGGGATACTTTCAAGAAGACTCTCTTCGCTCTTCGAGTTCTCGCGATACGCTTCAGAACACTCTTCTCAAGATACTCCTCGAGGTACTCTTCGCGATATTCTTTACGACACTCTTAACTAAACTTTTAACCCGAGATAATTTATAAAGGATTCTAAAAGAAATAATAAGAGGAACTAATTAGGTACGTCCAGAGGTAGAAGGATGATTGGACTATATGTGACTGGTGTAGAGCCTGATATCTACTGTGATCAAGGCTCACTAGTCATGTTGGCTAGGCAACCCCTGTCAACTTAAAGAGTATCTTTTAAAAAGAATCTCTCGAAGCGGATCTCGAAGATTACCCGGAGAGTACTCGAAAGCGTACCCCGAAGAGTATCCCGAAGCGAACCTCGGAGAATACTCGGAGAGTATCCCGAAGCGTATCACGAAGGAGAGTATCCCCTCAGGAGTGTCTTGAGAAGAAGTACTTCGAGAAGAATATCTTAATAAGAATATCTTAAGAAGAGTATTCTATAAATATTATAAAGAGAACTATAAAATGTTAGAATCTATAGATACTAGAAATCGTAAAGAAAGAAAATAGAATCAAAAAAAAATCGAATGATTTGGTTTTGTCGTAGTATCAGCCTTCGTCCGCCGTAATTCTGGAGGTGGCGATATGTTAATATACATGTACATGTACCTAATCGTTGCCGTTGGAACCCATCTGTCCCGGTTGGTCGGATTCTGGACGAAATCGTTAGCGCATTTTCTATCCTTACTTTATTTTGCAGTAAGGTACTTTACTTATCTTTTTAGCGCGATTATTTAAAAGTCCAAGATATTTCGGTTTCAAATTTCCCCCAGTCCCCGAGCAATCTCATCATCACACAACTCACTCACTCGACTCAACTCAACTCAATTCTTCTCCCTCCCCAAACACTTAATACTCTATCACGTCAACGAGTATCATCAACATCAACATCTTCATCTGCCTTATAAATCTCATCAATCCACTCACCAATCCCTCAGATCAGAGAGCCTCAATCCAGTGCGAAAACAGCGCTATCAGAATCAACATGCTATCCCTTACTTTCCTGTTTATCTCCCTCCTCCTGAGCTTTGCCGCCGCGCAGAGCAACACCACTTTCGATCCCAGCTCTGTCGATTTGACTGAGAAGAGTAGGATACCTCTCCTCGACTTCCAATCCTATCGACAACACCAATGCTGACGGGGAACGTAGATCAATGGTGTCAAGGCGAAACGGCCAACTGCCCAACGTTATGTGGTGGTCAAACACAGACCAAAGCTAACTCTTGCACTGGCGTAAGTCCCACACAAGACTCTTCCCAGCTGCAGCATCACCACCACCGTCACCATCATTGTCACCAACACCCTCACCAACCTTCTCATCCTCCCACTCTCAATCCATTCTTCAACCCCAAAACGCCCCACCCAACTTAGCTAACAAACCCCTTCTAGTCAACCCTCGACTTCACTTGCACCTGCGCCAACGGCACCGGTCCCTCAAACATAGCCGCATACCAAGGCACCCTGCCCAACTTCATTTGCGAAGCCACTTTCGCCCAATGCCGTATCGCCAACCCCGGCTCTGAAGCCTGCAAGACCTGCGGTACCCTCATGCCTTCCGACGTGCAAGCCATCGCTTCTAGCACCTCATCTGCTGCAGCTACTTCTTCGACTGGCACTGCCACGATGACCAGTGCGAGCACGACGGCTTCATCGAATAGCAAAAGCGGTGCTGGGAGGATCGAGGCGGCGGGAGGCGTGATTGGTGGTGCCATTGGGCTTGCTGTGGTTCTGCTGTAAGAAGACTTGAAGGAAGAGCTGAGTGTAAAGGGTGGTTCAATTCACGGTGGTATTCATTAGGGCCGAGGAATGCAGCGTGGTGTCGGCACCGTGACTGGTATTTAATATGCGTGAGCGTTAGTGGATCGAGCGTCTGGTGTCCGGTGAATCGGCATCTCTCACGCGCATCGAGCGGAAACATCTTATTCGGTGGCTCAACGCTCAGCGGAAAAGCATAATCAGACAAACAGTCTTTGCACGTTGGTGCGAGGCCCGGTTCCCGTATCCATCCAATCGCATCAGCTCGTCTTTCCATGCCTCAGTGTTGTCCTTCCCTGCTTCCAAAGAGGCCCCACCCAGTTCGCCGTCCGGAGCTCCCCCCCACTCTGGTTGATAAAACCGTCGTGACGCGTCCGTCCACCGGCAACGAGCAAGGGCGGAAAAATCCGTCTCTTTGAGAGAGGATGTCTGAACGGTTCCTCTCTCTCTCAAAACGCAGGTCCGGCAGGCAACGTTGACGGTCGGGTACGTTACCAACCCTCAGGGTTCTAACAGAGTCGACGGCGACGAGGGGAGTTTTTTGTGCTGTTCGATACTTTTTGTTTTTGAATCAGGTTGTTCACCGACGACGCACTGTTTCGGGTTGGTGGCCAGGTTTAACGTGACATTGAGACGGTTTTAATTCCTAACTAAGTGCCGCCTTTATTTTCTCTTTTTGCTTTTGGTGACAGCTTGCCTGACAGCGCAGCTCGATCCAGCATGATCCAGCACAGCACTATTTACCACGATGTAATCAAATATACATGTTTTACCATCTTACTCGCTATCAGAATCCGCAAACATATCTGCTGCTTTCGGCCTTCGCGTCCGTGCGGCTGCAGCGGGCGACGCAGCTTTCGGAGCTTCTGGACCAGCTCCTTTGCCCAATCTCGCAGCAATGGAAGCAGCCAATGCCTCCCGCCTCGACAGCTCTGCTTTAGGCTGATCCTCTGATCCTTCTGTTCTAGGAACGCTGGGTTGTTCGTCGTCCGAATCAACCATGGGCTCGCCATCAACATCCTCATCCTCATCCTCCATCGGCACGCCATCCACATCTCCTTCATCCTCAACCATCGGCTCACCATCCACATCCATCTTATCATCCTCCTCCGCCCGCTTCGCCATCTCAGCTTCTCTCTCCGCCGTCTGCTCATCCACCGTCTTCCACCTACTCTTCGCCTTCTCCGCCACCTTCTCTGCCTCCTCACTCGCCATCTTTGCCGCCTCCTCCTCCTTCCCAAGCGGCGGATTGGCGAAGACGCTACCGAAATGCTCCTGACTCGCTTGCGGAAAGACACACCAGCCTTCCCATAGCGCTAACACGCTTTGGACGCTGCGTTTCCATTTCTCGGCACGCAGACGGCCCCAATTCATGCGTTTGTCTAGGCGGCCGAGATGTTCGAAGGTTTTGTGGCGTTTGAGGGCGGCTTCGAAAAGTTGGCGGTAGCGCCAAGCGTGGCGGACGCCGGAGGTGGAGCTGGAGGAGAGGATGTCGGAGATTAGGTACAGAGCTATGAGTTTGGCTGGGGAAAGGTCTTCTATTTCTTTTTCCATTGTTGAAGGGTTGGGTGTGTTTTCCGCGGGTGGGTCGTCGTCTTTTTCTTCATTTGGGGGCTGGCGGTCTGGATTGGCGCTGGTGAACGCGAAGGGGTTTTGTACGTTGGATACAATCATCTGGACTACTTCTTCTGCGCCTTCGCCGGCGTGCTGGATTGCAAAAGCCGTTACGCGAGCTACGTCGCCTCGACGGAGCTTGGCGTTGGTTGTAGGAAGTCTTGCGAGGAGGTGGACAAGTTTCGCTTTTTGAAGTGGGTTAAGGTAGGCTTCGTTGTCGGCATCTAGACTGGGTCCGTCGGGTGGGGGTGCTCCTCCGTGATGGTGAGCGTATCGTCTACGTCCTTCGTCTCCAGAGTCTTCGTCTTCAGATGAGTCGTAATCCGAGTCTGAGACAAGCTCTTCGAGGCGGGTCGCGTACTCGAAAGGCAGGCCTCTATCTGGCATTGCCCATGCTGCTCCACCTTCAAAGATGTGCTGGGAAGATGAGAAGTCGCGCCCTTTTCGTCTTGATGCTCCTGTAAGAATGTCCCACAGTCTCCAGCGATAGTACACACCGCCAGCACTACGAGAATCCCATAGCCATGCCCATTTCTCGTCGTTTTTAACCTCCTTTCTGCTCATAAGGAGAGCCTCAAACTCAGGGCCATGGGTCAGTAGCGCCTCCAGAGTCTTGTGTATAAGCTTGAGCTGCTTAAGATCTCCTGGTGGATTGACATTGACTTGGACTTGAGGAGCGCTTCTCCCATATTGTGTTGAATTGTACGATGATGGTGGAGCAAATCCGCCGCGATGTCCACCTGGGGGTGCTCTCCCCAGATTGGGAGGTGGTATAGGACGTGCACCAAATGGGAGGGAGGATATTGAAGACGAGAGGCCCAACGGTGGCGTATCCAGGCCTATCGAAGCCGAGGATAAATGCCTCGAAAGCGATAGATAGAAGCCACGGCCCATGTATCTGTTTTGCAGAGCGCTAACAACGGTATCAATGTCGAGCGCGGGTGTGTCTTTAGCCAGAGTCACAACCGCTGATGAAGACTTCCGCTCCATTGTTCCGGGCCCAGAGGGAGGCAACATTCGTATTGCGTCCACTGTCAAATTTGGGGGCAGGATAGCCTTGATTGCGGCAGGCGACGTGCCTGGTGGCAGAGATGACAGACGAATTGTAGGCTTTGGTATAGCTCTCTCCTGCGTCCTCGAATTACTGCCAGTGTCTTCGTCGTCTGAGTGCTGTAAAGCAGTCTTGGGGTCTGCTGGACCCTCCTTAGCATCTTCAAAAGCGAACAGACCTTCCCTCTGCGTAGGTAGCGATCCATCGTAAGCTCTTTTGCGTGATAGTGATGTCGAAGGTGGCCCTAGACTGCCTGGTCCACTACCACGTCCTCCACCCAAGCCACTTTTGCCAGCATTTCCGGCAGGTGGCCCAGAATAGTGTCTCTTTCCAAAACCCGCGAATCCTCCTCGATCTCCAAAGCCTCCTCCTCTTGAAGGGCCACCACTTGATCTCACTCCATTGTCCTCATCGTCAAAAGACTTTACGAAATCTTCATAGACAGCAGCTGTTTCTTCCTGCTCTCTTTGACGCTTTGCTTCCGCTTCCGCTTTCTGCTTTTCGAAGATAGACTTCTTGGTCGGTGCTGTAAGTTTATTGCTAATATCCGGGAACTCTTTGATTTTGGAGTCCTTTACCATGGCGAGGTGAATGTGACAAGGAGAACTGAAGCTCACAATGGCAGTGATGATTGCAGCGTCAGTAACCAGTAACTCAGTATAGAGATCGGACGCTGCTTCAACAGCGTGTTTTTCCCGATCGGCTTTAAGGGTTGCAGACTAGATAAGTCCGTGAAGCGGGCCTGTAAAACGCTAGGTGGAGCTGCTGCCTCCTTCCACCTTGCCATCATGAGTGATGCAGGCGTCCTTCGGTCTCACGGTTCGACTCTCTTGTCTCCCGATATAGGAAATATGTCAACTGTTGATGAGCCAAGATGACCACCAAAAAAGAGATTCAGGTGCTGCTGCGATTTCTCTCCCAAGATGCGAGAATACCGCTTCCAACGGCTATGAGCAAGATTAAGGAGCTACAGAGCGCCAACCTCACAAGGCAAGAGTAGTCTTTCTGGTCTGGTCCAAAATTAAAACAAGCTGACCTCTGACTCAGCTCAGACTCTCTTGCAAAGTCATCCATCACAGCTATCCAGGCTATATTTACAGATGAGAAGCTCGCAAAGCAAGTATTGAGTGCTGCCAAAAGAATCACCAAGAAGAGAGGGAGGGAGCCTGGAGACCCTTCTTCGGAATCACCAGCCAAGCGCAAGAAGACCGTATCTACGGGAGACGTTGCTACTCCAGCTGCGATCGAAGAGTCTCTGGCCCTCCCTAAATCCGATGCTGACGAGGAAGAGCTGGCGAAGATTATTGTACACACCAATCGAGCCCCACTAGTCTTGGCGTTTGCGACCAAGTTACTGGAATTCACAATGCCATCCCAGCCGTTATCCTCCCGACTAAGCCTGGCTCAAGCAGTCGTAAGCGTGAATGCAAGGACTAAAGCCCTCAGCTTGGGCATAGAGAAGGGGACTAGTGCTGAAAACGATGGCTGGGGCCAAGGGCAGCCCAAAATTCGTGTAATGGGAAGGAGTATTAGAGTTATGAAGCGATGGGGTTACGAGTGGAAGGAGAAACCTGAGGCGGCAGGAAATCTGAAAGAGACCTCAGATGCTATGGACAGTCAAAAGACTTTGAAGCAAGACAGCGAAGCCGATGATGAGCCAGCACTGTGGGGCCTTGACCTCGAAGCTTTGCGTTCCTCTAATGGTCCGCTGGTCTCTGGTGCGCAGGGTGCGGAAGGTTCCGGCTTGCCCATCTACACTGCTCAATCCGCAAGAGCGTATCTGCTTAAGTCGTTTGCCTCGGTACCGTCTCCAACGGACGAAGCATCGTCGCCAAAGAAGAAGTCTGCAGCCATGCTAAAAGTGGAAAAACAATGGAACCTAGGCCTGGTCCTACGGGCATTGGATTTAGTGTTCCAATCTTGGGCACTCTTGGACCGCGAAGAGCTCGACAAGAGAGCGTGGGCTTGGTACGTAGCCGTCAGACCGGAAGTCGAGAATGGTGTTGCGGGATGGGGAGGGAAGGGAGAGGTAAAGCTTTCTCAGATCCTGAACTTGCGAAGAAAGGGCTAGGCCAGCCAGAGGATAGCAGATGGAGAAGCTCTGCATCTGGGGAAACCACCAGAACCGCGAGTTCCTTGATATAAGCGGAGGCCAGTCCGAGCCTTCTAAAATAGGTCCAAGGCCAATCCCAAGCGCTCTTGCTCCAGATGTTGGCCACTTCTACTTTCTGTTCGATAGCGGTAAGAATCTCTTCTTGCGCTGCCGTCCTATGCGAACAACAATCTTTGTGCCAATATTCCCATCTGAGCAGAGCAATGGAGGCGTTGCAATTTTTTTTGTCAATTTCTAGGTCAGAGGCCTGTTGCATAAGCCATAGGCCTTTGGCACTTGTTCGTGCGTCCACATTTCCATGATGACGCTCAAACTCTTCATAGTGATTGTCATCTACCACCTCTTTTCGACTCATGCTGCGCTGGTGACTTTGCGATCAGCAGGAAATGAAGATCTTCTTGCACTCGGATGAGAATCCAGAGACTACTGATGATACCGTGAAGGAAATACCGGATGAGCTAAGGTCTCACTTATCGAAGAGTCCAGAGCTAAGCTACCTCTCGTCATGGAAACATCTACCTCAATTACATGCGGGATTTGCCTGCAAAAGGAACGTCACTTGAGCTGTGATGAATGGACAATTTACAGATGCCAGATGTATAGAAGGTTAAGTAAGACAAAGAAAGGAGAGTGACAGGCTGGAAGTGACGTAGGTGAACATGAAAGTAGCCAAAAAATAGAGAAAGGCTAAGTACTTTACTATTCTTAGAGATGTCGTGCATTGGCGTCTCGGGCGTCTCAGGCGCGTCAGCGTGCTGCTCCGGAGGTAGAGTAATCGAATTAAGCCAAGCCGACCTCCTCGCTATTACTTCCTTTGACTTGAGAATGGCAGGAATTAAAGAGAAACGGCGGAATGAATGCTAGCAGAGCCTGTGCTCGACACAGATTGATATAAGACCAAAGAGTAGGTCTTGATAATTGGCCCACTCACTCCTGATTGTCTTACCTGCAAGCGCCATTATGTCCGAGCATCTGTTCAACATCACCTCGCACATCATTCCTGCATCTCACATTCGAGGCCATAGTAGAGGAATCCAAGACGAGCAAAACGGCCATCTACGTTTATCTCTCAAAAATTATGTTCCAAAAGACCGACAAGCAAAACCAGGAGACCCTACATTAATCCTAGCCCACGGCATCGGCTCTTCCAAAGAATCTTACGAGCCATTCCTCGACGAACTTGTCGCCCACCTACCAATCCGCGGAGCCTGGGCGTGCGACGTGACCCACCATGGCGCTTCATTTTTACTCAATGAAGAAATCATAGGAGACGAACCGCACTGGCTCGACAGCGCCAGGGATATGCTCCACATGGTCAATACATTCGCAGCCCAGATGCCTCCTCCAATCTACGGTATCGGCCAGTCATGGGGCTGTAATAACGTAGTTCTAGTGTCCCACCTCCACCAACGCCTTTTCGCAGGCATGGTACTAATTGAGCCCTATTTCGAAACCGGATACCGACTCCAATCGCATGGAGTCGACAAGCCTCCAGAGCACTCCCAGCATCGCATCGCCATTCTGGCAAGACGAAGAGATACGTGGACATCTCGCGAAGAAGCAGCGGCCAAATTGCGCGCGACTCCTTACTACGCCGTCTTCGACCCGCGCGTCTTTGAACGCGTGGTCAAGTATGACTTGCGTGACATGCCAACGCAGCAGCACCCGCACGCCGTGACCTTGACGACTCCCAAAGCCCAAGAAGTATACAATTATGCGCGGCCTGACCTGCCCTTCCCGGGCTATGAGGCAGCACCAGACTACAAGACCCGTCCCGGCGATAGTGTTGTAGTTCCAGGCTTCTATCGTGGCGAAGTCAAGCATGTGAGGCGTATTCTACCTCAGATTCTGCCACCGCTCTTGTTTCTGTGGGGTACCAAGTCCGATATTGGCAATTCTGCGTATCCCCAAACGGTGATTGACCAAACCGGGGTCGGAGAAGAAGGGAATGGGGGCGTTGTCTCTGGTAAAGTACAGTCGAAATACGTGAAGGGGGCTTACCATGCTGTACACCTGGAAATGCCCGGAAAAGCTGCCGAAGAGATCAGCGAATGGCTGAAAAAGGAGCTGCAAAAGTGGCATGACGAGATGATGAGGAAGAAGGAGCAGCAGCCGCCTTTTGACCCTGGCGTACTGAATCCGCTGTGGCTTGAAAAGCTGTCTAAGCTCTGACATGGCAAACACATGGCCAAAGTCTTGTGCTTGGAGAGGCATTATAGCAATCAAAGCACCCGATTATCCTACAATTCACCCTTTGCCTATGATACATGAGCTAGCATAACTGCTCCTCCGTTTCTTCAGTCTCTTCAGTCATGGTAGACATCATGGGTGGACCGCCCATGGGTTACGGGTCTGATCAAAAGCAACACCACAAAGCCAGTATATCACCTTTCCTCTCACCCTACATAATTGTGGGCAGATGATGATGTATGACGGAATAAAGCACAAACACCTCCTGTCATAGCCCCGAGTCTCCGTTCGCCGTCGCTTTTGCAATCGTCAAACTCCTCTATTAAAGTAGCCTGCGTGTGCCCCTATGTCATGTCACCGTGCGCCTTGCCAGCGCCGCATTCATATGTGCTGAGTAAATTGATCACCCCAATGCTCTCGCTCTTGCGCCGAATGCGAAAAGCGTTCACACATAGTTCGAATCTACAACAATAGGTTAGCACTCATTCGTAGAAAATCGTATGTAGAGATTTACCAATGGTGAAGCTTTGATGAATGGCAACTGGAAGAAATTGTAGTCCGAATTCTTGATCAGTTCCAATGTTGTGATGACAAGGCCCCATGGATGTGGTTTGATCACATGGAGACGCTCAAGCAGTACTCGAGTGATTTGCTGGCGCACATCCGATTCCTGCTGATCCGCCAGATCTGTTCCGAAAAGGTGGAGGAGAGCATAGCTGAAGTAGTGGGTATGACTGTTGGGATAGCGAAGTTGGTGAGCCATAGCACTAAGGAAGTAGTAGCGTGCTTCTGGATGAAGCTCCCTCGCCAGCTTGGTCATTAAAGAGGCTTGAGGAGAGTCACCGGTAAATGGCTGACCGCCCTTCTGCCCAGCCGTCGCAATTGCGCTTTGACCAATGTACAAGACGATAGCGTGTAGAAGAGAGGGATCCACAGCTAGGCCACGATCAATCGACGTGTACACTGCGTTAGCTAGATGAGTAAGATTGTCACTCGAGATCTCATTACTCCTTAGCGATGCATCGATGACATCTTTGATGTTGCTTTGAATGAGAGGTCCAGTGTAATCGCCAACGATCCTGGGGGCTTTTCTCATCTCTTCTAGACGATCTACCTTTAGTCCTGTCACGAATGGATCAGGGAGCTCTGGAAAGGAAGAAGGATAGGCGCTGAGCACAAGATTGTGAAGCTGCGTGCAGTACCGTGGGATAGAGTTGCAGAGGCGGAAGTGATTTTCCGCCAAGAATTCAGGGAAGTCGTGGTGCAAGATGAGAACAATGCGGAGTATGCCTCGGTAGAGGTCCATTGCGAGAGGTGTGATGGTGCTCGGCTTCAGAAACTGGCAGATGTACGACAGCGCTGCCTCCATGAGCTTGGCAAATGAGTCCCAACCCTGCCAGATGTTAGTAAAGCAGTGCGTAGAGGAGAGAGCATAGCTCACCTCATCGTTTGAGAGCTTCAACAGGCTGGGCATGAAAAGCCGGTGCGAGATCAGCATAAGCCAGCTGTAGGCGAAAGCTGGGAAGTGATGAGGTGTCAACATCAGAAAGTTGTTTGCGAAGACGATGAGCATGTCTCGGTCCGGTGTATCTCCTTCTCGCCCAAAGTCATGCCAGTCGCACAGAATACTCGAAAGGAGGCGAAAGAAACCCCGTTGGTTGAAGCGCTCTCCTTGCATGACGTGATGGTTGTTGATTATCAAGGTAAGAATGGCCAAGATTGAATTCATATACGCGGCCTTGTTACGTTTCACAGACCCATTGATTTCGCCTTGGTTCTTCACCAGTAGCACAATGAGCCTGGCCAACCAATCGACCTTGAAAAACGGTTCGTCCGAGTTCCCATCAGCATTCAGACTAGCATGGCCGTAATTATCCATCGCGTCGTCAATGCAGAATCGAAGGAACACAGACATATCCTCTTGTGAGCTGACCAACTGTTTCTGGTGCAACTGTGATATAAAGGCTGGGAAGATATTTTCGCTGGGGCTTTTTGGCGAAGCATCGCATATTGCAGCCCATTCTGCGAATATGTACTGCATTTGATGCTTTCTAATAAGACTCTCGTCGGGTCTGACGTCGACAGTCGCATTGACTCCCCACTCTTTCAGTCGTTGGACAAGTTCCTCGGCCTTGATCAGGGCGGGATCCTCCATGAGCCATTGGCCTAGAGCACCTAAGCTGCTCGCAAAATCGGCCCGTAGTGCCGTCGGATGGTCGTTGAGCAGCAAGGCATCCATGATGTCGGACAAGACTTCAAGCGCAAGCTCCTCCCGATCATAGATCAAACCGGTCAAAAACATGTCGAGTTGCTTTAGTTGCAAAAGATCAACCTTGACCAGTGCGGCCGTTACATCGATGTTGAAAAGTTTCTGTTCCTCTAAATTCATTGCCCATATCGCGACCTCCTTTCTGATGCTTGGGTACGTCAGACACAATCGTGCCAGTAAATGCACGAACACTTCGATCTCGAGACGTATCATGGAATTCCCATAGATCCCTTTGCAGATCTCCTCGGCACAGTTCATGGCAATGGTATCTGGAGACGAGGCAATCAGGTCCCATGCTTGGCTAAGGACTTCTACCAAACAACGGTCTCGTTGTATCTCAATCATAGATCGATCTGGATTTTCCTTCACCATTCGACTGGTTTCACCAAGGAGCTGGGATAAGCGATCCTGAACGGCGTCAAGATCCGCGTATCCATTTGTCTGGGCTGCGGCCATCAAATTAGGCACTGGCGGCGGGAGCATACGACCGGTCTGTTGCTGCTGAGAATGCTGGTGTGGCATTGGTAGCGTCTCGGCGGGAGTGTGGACATTCGGCACTGATGCAAATGCCTCCTGTAGTACGTCGGGCAGCTGTCTCCCACTGTCTGCTGAAGCAGTTTGAGTGTGGCTTGCGGGTCCCCGGGATTGCCTGGCAAACTCAAGATAGATTGCCATTTGCTCTTGATTTAAACCGCCAGATGCCTGCTTATAGGGATCTGGGATAAATCCGGCCCACCGATTGAAAGCTGGATCCATGTAGGGCTCGCTGGGGTGCTCGGCCCGATGTTGTCGTCGCTGTGCTATCTCAGCCTCGATGTGAGCCTCGATCTCGGGCATAGATCGCTCTTCAGCTTGCTTCTCTACTATGTTGCATGCCGTGTCTAGATTATCATTCACGCACATCAGAATAGCACCTTCAGGAAATGCTTGGTCTGGAAAATCTGTCTGCTGCGCCATGCGGATGTAATTTGTCATGCTCATCTTGAGGGGCTCTTTGCAAGTAACGAGGGCAAGACTTCCAGACAGTTGGCGCACCATCTGTTGTGCAGCTCTGCGCACTCGATCTTCGTCCGATTCGCGAGCGAAGTCCTTATGAATCAGAGC